TACCATCTTCCATTTTTAAGTGTATAGTTAAGTAGTGTTGAAATATATTCACATTGTTGTACAACAGATCTCTCAAACTTTTTCATCTTGCAAAACTGATAACTCTACCCATTAAAATCTAATCCTCTCTTTTCTCTCCCTACAATCCTTAGCAACCACCTCTCTACTTTCTCTTTCTATGATTTTGACTATTTAAAATAATTCATATGAGTGGAATCATACAGTATTTTGTCTTTTTGTGACCGGCTTATTTCATCTAGTGTAATGTCCTCAGGGTTCATCCATATTGTAGATATGACAGGGTTTCCTTCTTTTTTAAAGCTGCATAATATCCCACTTTATATATATGCCATGTTTTCTTTTTCCATTCACCCATCAGTGGACATCTGGGTTGCTTCCACCTCTTGCCATTGTGAATGATACTGCAGTTTACATTGGTGTGCACATACTCCTTTGAGATCCTGCTTTGAATTCTTTTGAATACATACCCAGAAGTGGGATTGTTGGATCATATGGTAATTCTGTTTCTAATTTTTTGAGGAACCCTCCATACAGTTTTCCATAATGGCTGCACCATTTTACATTCCAACCAGTAATGCACAAGAGTTTTAATTTCTTCATATCCTCACCAAAAGTTTGTTATTTTCTGTTCTTTTGACAGTAGCTATCCTCTTGGGGCCCAACTTCATTCTTTTGCAGTGGATATCTAACACCACTTGTTGAACAGACTATACTTTCCTCATTGTGTAGTCTTGGCACACTTGTCAAAGATCATCTAATCATATACGGAAGAGTTTATTTCTGGGCTCTCTGTTCCATTGGTCTATATGTCTATCTCTGGTTATTATTACTTGTAGTATGTTTTCTGGGGTTTTTTAGAAGATTTTTTTGACGTGGACCATTTTTAAAGTCTTTATTGAATTTGTTATAATATTGTTTCTGTCCCATGTTTTGGTTTTTTGGCCATGAGGCATATGGGATCTTAGCTCCCCCACCAGGCATCAAACCCATACCCACTGCATTGGAAGGTGAAGTCTCAACCACTGGACCACCAGGGAGGTCCCACTTGTAGTATGTTTTGAAATCAGGAAGTGTGAGGCCTCCATCTGTGTTCTTTGTTTTCAAGACTGTTTTGGTTATTCAGGGTTCCTTGAGATTCTATATGCATCTTAAGATTTTTTTCTATTTCTGCAAATATTGCCATTGAGATTTTGATAGGGATTGAATTGAATCTGTAGATTATTTGGGGTAGATAGACATTTTAACAATATTAAGTCTTCTAATCCATGAACATGGAATGTCTTTCTATTTATTTGTATCTTCTTTTATTTCTTTTAGCAATGTTTTGTAGCTTTCAGTGTACAGGTCTTTCACCTCCTTGGTTGAATTTATTCCTAGGTGTTTTATCCTTCTTGATGCTATTGTAGGTGGGATTCTTTCCTTAATTTCATTTTTAGATGATTCATTGTTAATGTACTGAAACACAATTGATTTTGTGTTCTGAAACTTTCCTTAAATTGTTCATTGGTTTTAACAGTTTGGAGTTTTTTTTGCATGGCATCTTTAGGGCTTTCTATATACAAGATCATATCATCTGCAAACAGGGACAGTTTTACATCTTCCTTTCCAATTTGGATGTCTTTTATTTCTTTCCCTTATCTAACTGCTCTGGCTAGGAGTTCTAACGTTAAGTTAAATAGGAGAGGCTAGAGTAGCAATCCTTGCATTGTTCCTGATTTTAGAGGAAAAACTTACACTCTTTCACCACTGAGTCTGATTTTGACTGTGGGCTTTTCATATCGGGCTTTTATTATGTTGAGGCACTTTTCTTTTATTCTTAGTTTGTTGAGTGTTTTTATCATGAAAGGGTCCTGAATTTTGTCAAATGCTTTTTCTGCATCAACTGAGATGATCATGTGGGTTTTGTCATTCGTTCTGTTAATATGGTGTCTTACAATGGTTGATTTTCATATATTGAATCATCTTTACATTTGAGGTATGAATCCAACTTAGTCGTGGTGTATAATCATTTCAAAGTGTCATTGAATTCAGTTTGCTAGTATTTTGTTCAGGAATTTTGCACCAATATTCATCAGGTATTGGTCTGTAGTTTTCTTCTCTTGTTGCGATAATGGATTTACTTTTAAACACTGTTAGTGAATAGGTCCTGAGATATAACCTAAGTTTTAAACGTATAAAATGGTATAGGGGCTCTGAAGCTTTGTTCTATATATAATTTCATGTTCAAAAGTAAGTCTGGGAAAAAATGCTAAAGAGAATTTACAATGTTATACAAATAGAAACATCTTAAACACCTCCTTTTGTGTTAAGGAAGTTTCATTCTCTACTCCCAAAGGAGCCAAATGCAGGTTTGAGAAAGGAAAATGTCTTCCCTCTGTGTTTGATATGACAGCTGACATTCTGAGCTTGTGAGGTTTGTTTGTGTGTTTAAAGAGGTGTGTATGTGTGTCAAAGAGAATTTTGAATATTTCAATATAATAACCTCAAGTCATACAACTTAAACTAAAATGGAGGCATCACTCATGACAATATTCAAAGTATAGCCCCATAAAAGGTATTTTTGCATGGTAACAGATTGCTTTGGGAGTCTCACATGACTTACTAATACATATTTTACTTCCTGCTGTTTTCTTCAATTCAGTCAAAACAAAAATTAGTTGAAATTCCATCTCAGTTACGAAACTGAGAACTTGTCTCTGTGGACCGCTATGCCCTGGATAACTTGCCTGAACTCACAAAGTTAGAAGCCACCAATAACCCCAAATTATCTTACATCCACCGCTTGGCTTTTCGAAGTGTCCCTGCCCTAGAAAGCTTGATGTTGAACAACAATGCCGTTTACCAGAAGACAGTAGAATCCCTTCCTAATCTGCGTGAGATCAGTATCCACAGCAATCCCCTGAGGTGTGACTGTGTTATCCACTGGATTAATTCCAACAAGACAATTCTCCTAGTTTTCTATTTTGAATTATAATTAAGGAATAACCTGTGGCAGAAATGTTCTTAACTGAACATTTATTGTGACTACTGTCCCTGTTTTAGGATTACTCTATATGGAAACAAAAGAGTGGAATAAACTTGTGGAGTTAATAATATTTGGAAAATGCTATTCTCTGAGGTATGTTTTTATTTTATGGAATTTCTTGATAAAAGTCAAAATCAGATAGTGTTAAATACTGAAAAGTTTTGCATGTCCATGATATATGGTAAACTATCCAGATCAGGGGAGAGGAGAATGTCAGTGTGTTTCTCCCCACAGAGAATAGCAAGGATCCAGCATTATGCAACACATACACTTCCTTCTCCCACTTCTGATTTGCCAGACCTGGACTGGATGGTTTTTTAAAACTCCATCTTGTTAGCTGGTAACTTGGTTTGTGTATTTTGTAAAACAAACCAAAAAATGTAGAATTTTTCATTCTTTCTACTAAACTGTAACAAATACAGAACTTTAGGACTGGCTGTTTGTAGTATTATACTTCTTGGTCCATCACAAGGATAACTGTGTTTTGCAAAGTATGAAGGTAGTAATAGTAGCAAATATGAGTTGAGAGCCTGCTGTGTGTTGAACACTAGGGCTTCAAATATATTATATGCTCTATTTTATTGAATCCTTACAGTAATCTTATGAAAATAAATAAAACACTAGTCACTTAAGTTCCTTCAGTACTGAAAGCTGAAGTGCATTATAACAAGACAAGTGTAAGGAAATATATATCTCTACTTTCCATATCTTAGCAAGTGACTAGAGTAGTCTTGGGAAAGCAAGACAGACACTGGATCCATAATGGCTTTTTACACCTGATTGGAATCCAGAAAACTAGCAGCATTAGCTACTATATGATGTTTAGAAGCAGGTGAGCAGTACATATTTGACCTCAGAAGACCTTATCAAAGTCGACAGATGATAGCTAAATAAGATCAAATATCTCCAGCTTTCCTTCTTTTACTTATCCTCCAATAACCACTACATAGCTATGAGCGATCTAAGAAGATGATAATAAATACAATTAACCTTCATGGGAATTTAATATCTGCCGGGCACTACACAAAGAGCTTTACGTACATTCCTTTAATTCTCTCAGTAGTCTGGTAAGAGAGATACTTTTATGACCAACCCTATTTGATGGTTGAAGGAGCTGAGGCTTTAAAAAGTTAAATAACATATTCATGGTGTATATCCATGACTATTAAGTGGCCATGACATTCCCATGAGATTGATGAAATCATGCATGTGAGATTATATATATATATACATGTATAAGTGTATTTGTATTTTTAATGAAGACCAGTAGTGTGATGGGATAGAGTCCTTTTACAATTTTATTCAGTCAAGATCAGATGTGGCTATGAGAATACAAGAAAAACTGGTATTTTTCTTTTGTAGTTCTGTTAGATTAATTTTTTGCATAAGAATAATTAAGCTAGATCAGGTTTGGCTGAATATTTCTACAGAATGTACCATTTGGAAAAGAAAGAATTCCTAAAAGCAAATGAAGTATTAATTAAAATATAAATAACTAAAAATGAACTTTGAATCTTTAATAAACTGGCTTTCATGTTTTGCTTTCATGAGGAATTACCTTTTGATTTTTTTGGAGCCATGAATATATGTAGTTTCTAAGTCACCTTTGTTTTTAAAGAAATGACATCTGTGGGCTTTTCTAAGTGTTTCTATTATGTGTGTGTGTGTGTGTGTGTGTATGTGTGTGTGAATGGGTGTGTATGTGCAATGTGTGTTTAATGTTTTTACCCAGTAATACAAGTGGACCCAATTTAATTGTAAATGTGAAGGAACACTAAAACTACTAAGTGTAATAATATATGAAAAGTATTCTACAGTTTAAAAGCTTTAGTTTCTTTGAACATTGCTATTAGATTTATAAGTGATTATGCCTTTTTAGTAGACAAAAGAAAAGCTATAATGTATTAGAAAGTATATGGAATAAACATAATATTTGTCCTAATCTAATTTTCAGGCACATCTCCAGACTGTGATTTGGCTGAAATAACTTATGCCACAGAGCTGTGCGCATGCCTGGAATTGAGAGACACAGGTAAAAGACTCCAAACTGTTTCCTGCCTTTCAAAAACTCCAGGAAACCATCCCTTCAGACTCTGGAATTCTGCACATCTCAACAGAGACCTTGCTTGAATGTTTACATTTTCTGCTTGCTGTCCTTCATACCGCTATACAGTGTTCACCTTTTGTTAACGATTGTCAGGAGTCGAGCTTGCTCAGCAAGCCAGCATGGCTAGGATGAGCTTTGCTTTAGCAGTTTGCCGAATGGTGCTGAGCTTGCTGATGACTTCATTAACTGGGTCTTCCCTACAAAATAGCGAGTGTCCACAACTTTGTGTATGTGAAATTAGGCCCTGGTTTACCCCGCAGTCAACATACAGAGAAGCCACCACCGTTGATTGCAATGATCTCCGCTTAACAAGGATTCCCAGCAACCTTTCTAGTGACACTCAAGTGCTTCTCCTACAGAGCAATAACATCGCAAAGACCGTGGATGAGCTTCAGCAGCTCTTCAACCTGACTGAGCTAGATTTCTCCCAAAACAACTTTACGAATATTAAGGAGGTAGGGCTGGCAAACCTGACCCAGCTCACTACTCTGCATTTGGAGGAAAATCAGATTACGGAAATGAATGATTTTTGTCTGCAAGATCTCAGCAACCTTCAAGAACTCTACATCAACCATAACCAGATTAGCACTATTTCTGCTAATGCTTTTTCAGGCTTAAAAAATCTTTTAAGGCTCCACCTAAACTCCAACAGGTTGAAAGTGATAGATAGCCGCTGGTTTGATTCAACACCCAACCTGGAAATTCTCATGATTGGGGAAAACCCCGTGATTGGAATTCTGGATATGAACTTCAAACCCCTCTCAAATTTGAGAAGCTTAGTTCTGGCAGGAATGTATCTCACTGATATTCCTGGAAATGCCTTGGTGGGCTTGGATAGCCTAGAGAGCCTGTCGTTTTATGATAACAAACTGGTCAAAGTCCCTCAACTTGCCCTGCAAAAAGTTCCAAATTTGAAATTCTTAGACCTCAACAAAAACCCCATCCACAAAATCCAGGAAGGGGACTTCAAAAATATGCTCCGGTTAAAAGAACTGGGAATCAACAATATGGGGGAACTTGTCTCTGTGGACCGCTATGCCCTGGATAACTTGCCTGAACTCACAAAGTTAGAAGCCACCAATAACCCCAAATTATCTTACATCCACCGCTTGGCTTTTCGAAGTGTCCCTGCCCTAGAAAGCTTGATGTTGAACAACAATGCCTTGAATGCCGTTTACCAGAAGACAGTAGAATCCCTTCCTAATTTGCGTGAGATCAGTATCCACAGCAATCCCCTGAGGTGTGACTGTGTTATCCACTGGATTAATTCCAACAAGACAAGCATCCGCTTCATGGAGCCCTTATCCATGTTCTGTGCCATGCCGCCCGAATATAGAGGGCAGCAGGTGAAGGAAGTTTTAATTCAGGATTCAGGTGAACAGTGCCTCCCAATGATATCTCATGGCACATTCCCAAATAATTTAAACATGGATACTGGCACAACAGTTCTCCTAGACTGTCGGGCCATGGCCGAGCCAGAACCTGAAATTTACTGGGTCACTCCCCTTGGAAATAAGATAACTGTGGAAACGCTTTCAGATAAATACAAACTAAGTAGTGAAGGTACATTGGAAATATCTAACATACAAACTGAAGACTCAGGAAGATACACCTGTGTTGCCCAGAATGTTGAAGGGGCAGACACTCGAGTGGTGACAATTAAGGTTAATGGAACCCTTCTGGATGGTACCCAGGTGCTGAAAATATATGTCAAGCAGACAGAATCTCATTCCATTTTAGTGTCCTGGAAAGTTAATTCCAATGTCATGACGTCAAACTTAAAATGGTCATCTGCCACCATGAAGATTGACAATCCCCACATAACATATACTGCCAGGGTCCCGGTAGATGTTCACGAATACAACCTAACACACCTGCAGCCTTCCACAGATTATGAAGTGTGTCTCACAGTGTCCAATATTCATCAGCAGACTCAAAAGTCATGTGTTAATGTCACAACCAAAAATGCCGCCTTCGCGCTGGACATTTCTGATCAAGAAACCAGTACAGCCCTTGCTGCAGTTATGGGGTCCATGTTTGCCGTCATTAGCCTTGCATCCATTGCTGTGTACATTGCCAAAAGATTTAAGAGGAAAAACTACCACCATTCATTAAAAAAGTATATGCAAAAAACCTCTTCAATCCCACTAAATGAGCTGTACCCACCACTCATTAACCTCTGGGAAGGTGACAGCGAGAAAGACAAAGATGGTACTGCAGACACCAAGCCAACCCAAGTTGACACCTCCAGAAGCTATTACATGTGGTAACTCAGTGGATATTTTGCTTCTGGTAGTAAGGAGCACAAAGACATTTTTGCTTTATTCTGCAAAAGTAACAAGTTGAAGACTTTTGTATTTTTGACTTTGCTAGTTTGTGGCAGAGTGGAGAGGATGGGTGGATATTTCAAATTTTTTTAGTATAGCGTATCGCAAGGGTTTGACACAGCTGGCAGCGTCTCTAGGCTTCCAGTTTGTGTTTGGTTTTTATTCTCATCATTATTATGATTATGATTTTGTTTTATTTGTTGTGCTAAACTCAATAATGCTGTTCTGACTAAATGCTAAATAAAATGATTAATGACAGGTTGGGGTTCCCCTGTGCTTTTACCAGTAGCATGACCCCTTCTTCTGAAGCCATGAGCAGACAGTACCATGTCCTCCAAAAAGCTAACACACAGTTGTGAAGCAGCATTGAACTTTTTGCAGCAATTTGGTCTACAGACTTGTAACTGGAGAAGCTAAGGCTAGACTTGTTACCTTTGTTGAATGATGTTAGTTGACTGTACTGTAATGTTGTATCAACTGAATTGAATGTTTGCTTTTGAACAACAACTTTTTTTTTTTGTAATAGTTAAAAGGCTTAGAACAAGCTAACAGGCAATAGAAATATGTATATCAGATTTTTTAATGTAACTAACTACATGTTAATTGTTACCTTATTCTTTTTATCTTTAGTAGACACTTTTAAAAGACAATAATTTTGTTGTGTTTAACTCACCAACATGTGGTGTATAATGAAGACAGAACTATATAATAAATTAGTTTTGTTCTGATTTTTTTAGAACACTTGCAATAATGTATCATTTATAGTTCTTTCTAGTTGCAGTGGTGATATTTTTCACATTCCCCAAAACAACCACCAAAATAAATTACCTATATAGCATGTTGCTTTTTAAAACTAGGCCCTAAAAAGTTTTGAATTCTTTTTCTAAGGGAAGAAATAAATATTTTAATGAAGATATTTTACTGAATAGGATTTCTATATTTTAAATATTACTGACCAGACCTAATGGAAGGAAAAGTTCATTTGAAGAAAAAAGGTATATTACTGTATCCCACGTATAGCTAAACATGGTAAAAGAGATATATACATTGGATATGTCACATTCCTTTTCTGTAAGGGTCTTGTTAAAATTTGATTTTTTTTTTTAGTAGTATCATATTCCCCATCAAAGTCTAAATCATGCTGCTATGTAATATTCCAAAATGTATTACATGTTGTTCCTCTTTTAACAGCTGTCATTATGCCTAGATCCATATTAGTCCACATATCAGTGGGGGGATATCTGCTCAGACAAGTAAATGATTAATAGAAAACAGAACAACTTCTCTACAGTTGGCATTTTTCATCCAAATAATATACAGAAACAGTTTTGCAGAATTAAGTGTTTCACGGGTAATGTGTGTGAAATTTACAACAGAAGGAGCTAGATTTAGGTAGGATCCCAGTTCCACAAAGTGGAGGAGGGGGAAGATTTAAAGGTATGGGTGGAGGAAAAAGGACCCACTTGAAAATGCAGGTTGATAAAGCAGAGAAACTTTTTTAAAAGGCTGCTCTAGATGGCACCTGCTTCCACTGACATGCTATCACACCAGGAACGATGAAATTGTAAAAAGGGACTGAGAGCAAGCAGGTGCCAGCTGAGCAAAGGCAAGGAAAAGGGAGAAAGAAAGCGCAGGCAAGGAAGGATGAAGGATTTCTTTCTTGGTAAAATTCCTTGTTTCATGAATCACTTAGGAAAAAAATCGTCACCTTCCTTCCCATTTCTAAGGTGGAGAAAAGAACTTCAAATGCTGAAGCAAGTAAGCTGCACAGGAAAACAATGAGTGTCTGAACCAGGAGCATCTTTGTCCACAGCCTACATTTGTTGGCAGAAAAACCTAGGCCCAGGGAGGAACTGTTAACTTGCCCCGGTCAGACTCCTGCCCATTGAGAACTCTGCCCTCCCTCTATTGCTCTGGGTCCAGCAGCCTTCTAGGTTGCTGTGCAGAGCTTATCTTTTTCAGTTCTCAACAACTGTTGGTGCCCTTGCTCCAAAATGCACTATATCCTCAAGTTCTCATTTCTTCAGGACATATTTTAGCACAAGGGCAGAGCAGAGGGTCAGGAAAACTTCTGCATTGTGGGTATTGCTGAGTACATGTGGGAAACATCAAGAATTAGAGATGCCTTGGATGCAGCCTTGGGCAGGGGTCGGGGTGGGGGTGGGGGTGGAGGTTCCTGTTGGGGATTCTTGTCTTCAAATATCTACAGAGAGTAGTGGACTATCGAAGAAAAACAGTGAAAGGGGAATGACACCGAAGCATTAGGCCCAGAGCAGGGAGGAGGCATTGTTTATCCCATAAAGCAATGATTTGAACCTGGCACATAATCAACACTCAAATATTAGTGGAATAAATGAAAACAAAAAACAACCACCATTTTTCTCTTCTGGATATATAGCAGTCACCAGGAAATCCAAGTGTTTTTTTGCCAACTACCTTTTCCCAGGCCACTTTGGGGGGAAAAATATCCCTTTTATTCCTCCTCCAATAAAATATTTGAGCTTCTTTTTCCTTGTCCGTGCTACTTGGTTTGGTTTTCAGTTGATAGAAAGCAAAATGGCATAGCACTTTTTTTTCCCTAGCCAAGTATTTCCTCATTTGTACTTAATTTAATTTGATAAGTTCGACAGCCAGTAAAATTAGACATCAAACTAGGTCCTGATTGGTAATGGAGGTTATGTCACCTTTACCAATGAAGTGACTATTATAGGTCACTTTCTAATTTCATATTTTCCCTTTTGCTTCGGGCTGCCCTCAGGGCATATAATGTATCTCTAACCTGATTTTACAAGGTTATTTCTGAATCAGCTTCTTAAAACAGGCATTCCCAAATTTGCCTGTTTAATTAATGAGAAACTGAACTGATGCCATGAATATAAAAACAAATGCAATGTTTGGTTATCAAATTTTCTAATTTGGCTGTGTGATTGACAAAAAGGAGTCATCTCCATTCTTTCACAAACAAACAATACTGAAGTCCATTATTTTCTCTCATGTGGTTTTCTATTTATTCATTCCTTTATTTGCCAAGGACACCACAATCAGTCCTTTACTTGGTGTTTGCTTCCTCTCTCTGTATTCATCTTCCAGGGCATTTTCTTTTCTTCATTACTGGAAAAAACATTACACACCCCTAACACTTTGCTGGGAAAACCATGCCTTCTGCCTTTCTATTCACTGATAGGGGGATTTTAACTATTTCTGATGCATTCTAACTACAACCGAAAATGCTTTCTTCACCTCAGTTCTTTCACTCTCACCCTGCTTGCAAATAGAGTTTTTTATTATTATTCATAAGGGATTACTTGGAGGAAAAATGTTTCTTAGAAGATGAATTTGAGGGTCATCATCCATCCAGAGCTCTGCAATGACTTTGGCATAGAATCCCTGCAGGACTTGATCTAATCTGGCGTGGGCATGATTTCTCAGTCCTCCCCCCTCCCCCCTTTGCAGTAATACTAGCACCAGCTCCTTCTCTCTGTACTCCAAGTCAGGAACTTAGCGTATATGGTAAGAATAAGGAGATGGCAAGGGGACTCATTATTTTTGTACCTGCTGGTTCAGCATTGCCTAGTACACGTTAACAGAACTAAATGGGTTTCTTGTATTGTAGAACTCCTCAGAGACTTGATGGTACTAATATAAATTACATAGCATTTCCCACAGCTGTTTGACCATTAGTATATTTCAGGCTACTATTCTGTACTACAGATCCTGAGAAACTGAGGATTTAATTTAATCTCCAAAACAGTCCTGATAAATTGGCTATTATTCTTCGCAATTTACAGAAAAGACAACCAAGGCCCATAGGAGTAATCATTTGGTGACACCCTACAGTTCTGTAAGTGGGTGATCATGATGGGGCCCGTCACTTCCAGTTTCCTCTCCATCCATCCAGCACCCTTCTAAGGTGGAGGTGGGAGTATCTATAGAAGGTGAGAGGCTGGAGGTCACAGAGCACCTGGGGAAAACAGAGTAAGTACATACAGGAGAACCCATGGGAGATAACACTGAAAACTTTCTCTATGTCTTAATGTTCTTCTCTCTTCCCCTTTAAAGATTTATGTGCTGGGAAGTTCTAAACTACCCATCAAAACTGTGTTCACATCAGGCTAAATTTTAATTCTAACCTTCAGTTCTCCTATACTCTCCTCTCTGTTACCTGCTCAGAAAATTTGAAAGATTTTGTGGAGGAAATGCCAAGCTCATTCTTTCCTTAGCAGTAAATCATGGAAGGCGTATGTAAAATTAGTAACAAACTCCATGTTTAGCTCCAAAGCTTATGTGAAATTCATATAACTGGGCAGTTGCAAGGGTGTATATGACATACCTGGAAACAAATGGCTTTTGTACAATCACCAAGTTTGTGGAGTTGGTGGGATATTTTTATTCAGGGTTCTCTCTGTTCCCCAGAAAAAAATTCTATCCAGAGGCCATAAGACATTAAAAGGATGTCTTTCTTTTTTTTAAAATAAATGTGATAGCCCTCCCGACATACTCCAATTTTGTCAGTTACATTCTACTTAATATGAAGTAAAACCAGTTTCACTCACTTCATGAAAGTAGCTCTGGGTACACAGTGGGTCAGACCATGCAGTCCTCTCCTTTCCACCTTGCCTCCCTCCCTCTCTCCCATAAGATTAAACTGACAAGGTAAATTTCAGCCTGGGCCCTGACAAAATGGTCATGAATTCCTAATGGGGGGCTGCCCTGAATTACGTAGCATTTTAATGGGAATTGGGTATATTAATAAGACAGTCTGCACCGCAGCCTGTCTTACTAACATAAACAAGACAGGGTGGTCCTGGAGGGAAGAAAAACAAATTTACAGTGGTGACTTATGAAAGAAAAAGGAGGGAGAAACATTCTTTGTGTACATAGCCCTCTGCTAGGAACTTCACATAGATTATTTACATTTAATCCTTTTAATTGACCCGCCTCCCCCAGGGAGTGAGTACTGGGCAGGTACCATTGTCCCTCCATTAGAGAGGAGAAAAATGAATACTCAGCCTCAGAGATGCAAGCAATTTACCTGAAATCACACAGCTTGTAAAAGGCAGAACTTAAACTTGAGGTCTATATGCATAAAACTTATTGTTTTTCCATTATAAAATGGTCTGCAGGCTAAATCTGGACCAGGAGTGTAGAACACAGAGCCCAAAAGACAATTTGGCACTTGAGATAGAAGGAAAAATGGAGCAAAGAGAGGCACTGCCCAGAAGTGAGGACTCAGAGTACAGGGGTCTAATTTAAGACCCAAACCTGAGATCAATATATGGAAATAATAGTAAGTCAGAGAGAGGAAAAAGTAAAGGACTATTTGTGATAACAAATACATGCAAGCAAATGGAAGACACTGAAGCTGAAGAAGAAAAAAACAGTTTAAAAAAAGGAGGAGGGTAGTCTGGGTAGGGGTGGAACTCAGAGTATGGTTATTTCTATGAAATAGGTATATCATTTTTTTACATGGAGAAACTGAGCCTCAGTTCATCAGTCCTGATTCGAAGTCAAATCTTGAAGCCAAGATTTCAACCCTGGCTGTCAGACTCTAAGGCCCAAGACTAACCACTAAACTGTTCTGTAGCTAAAAGGCACCCAGAGGACTGGGCTGGCCATCTCATTTGCTTGATTGATTTAGTTCTTCCCTGAGAGCAGCAAGAAAAAGGGTAGGTTTCATGACCTTGTAAGGATCTTGCAAGGACCTTCCTACAAAAGGTGTATAAACCTGGGATTAATGCCACAGGC